CAAGATAGAAATTCCATTGAACAATCGAAAATATCTCTTCCTCTCTGTTGAAGTGAGAAACGATTTCAACATTGCAACTAGGTTCCCTTCTGCTTAAAGCTTTCGAGGTGGCTATAGGGTGTCGATAACGACCACCACACGGATTTATTTTCGCACATGGCTACGACATCGTCCGTTCGTTTTCATTGAGGATACTTGGCCAGATTTATACCTGTTCCTTTCCTGTCGAATGCTGACGTCTCGCTTGCCCGAGAGCAAAAACAACGTCGTGACTTCATTATGCGAACCTTCTCACCTGTCACTCGAAGCGACCGGCAAACTTGCTGCCTCTCAAGTGGTCCAATAAACGCTTTCATAATAAAAAAAAAACCGTGATTGAACGTGATTGTCCACGCTGCTATCGTTGTTGGAAACACGGTGTTTCCTTTCCTTCGGTATCCTCCGCGCGAAATTCCTCGCCATTGTACGCAACAACCGGTTCGCTCTTGTCGAACAGCCGATCGTCGACGAAACGTTGTTTCGATTCGACGTGCTTTCGAAATTCCGTCCAGTGTTTCCATTGTGAAAGATACTCGAGTGAAAGCGAACGATTCGCCGCGAGGGGAAATTGTTTCAATTGACAGCGATTTAATTCGTAAGCTCGACGAGGAGATAAAAGGCTGAGCTAGTCGTAATCGAAGTACAGTGTTGCACAGATGATTCTTAACAGGCTCGCGTGAAAATCTCGAGAATGCTTCGAAACGAGCAGAAATTTGTTTGCAATAAAGTTTTATGTAGAGTAGAATGGAGAGTATCGTAATACAGGTAATCATTCTAATTTATTCTACGCACGCATCTTGTCCAACAAACAGTGATCCATCACTCTTTGAGAAACTTGCCTCTTTTTTCGTATATATCGCCCGAGGACCGAATAAAACAGTATAAAACGCGACGGTGACAGCTTGGATGGCGAGCATGAAAATCATAGTTCACGTAGCATCAGTCAATCAAAAAGGCCTGGGAAACCGTTATGACCGGTGACTATCTCAGTTCGGTAGGAAACTAGGACAGAATACGCAACGCGTATACTAAAATTCCCTTGCCTCTCTCGCGAGAGTGCATCTCCCGAGAGTGCTCTGCGTTCGTTCTCGTCATCGAATATGCACGCGTGCCAATTACTTCTGACGTCCAACTTCGATAAAGGACACGTACGCACGCAGTGGTCAAAGGCACGAACGATTTTTCGTGGAAATTTTTACTTGAGAAAATTCCGAGCTTGACAAGCGAAATTGATACGTAATCGTATGCCACAAATCGTAGGAAATTGGAAAGATATTTAATCAGAAGAAATATTAGGTTGGTCGAAAAGTAACTGCGTCTTTTTTTCTTTTCGTGTCCAAATGAAAGGCGAATTTTTCATCAACAATGAAAATGTTTTTTTTTTATCAATACATTGACCATTTTGTTCGACTTTTTGCCATCTTCAACTTTGTGATTTCACGTTTCAAGAGCAATTAAATATTCTCGTCAATAGTTATATTATTTAACGAACCAGTGCTCTTCGCTATTGCACATTAGATAATTTTTTGATGAGTTTGCACAACGTTCTTTTTTCTCTTTTTTCTTTCTTCTTCTCTCTTCTTTTCGAAAAATGTTTGACTTTATATTGAGAATGTTCCTTTTTGATATCCACAGTTGCATTCTCTCTTTGTAAAACAAGCTTGAACAATCAGGTATCCGACTGCACGTTTGAAATGAAGTTAGTTGTACGGTTTAAGATACACGTGTACGTCCATTCATCAGAGAAAAATTACATTTTAGCCAATCGAATACAATTATATCTAGACTGCATGATTAGCAACTGCAGAAACTTGTTCAAATCCAGCTGTGATTTGCGCCAAATTTATACTTTCCTCTTCGTGCTACCAATTAATCTTCGAAAATCGTGTTGGAATTTAACGAAGGCCGAACCAAGTTGCTTCGACGCTCGTACCTTCTCGCAAGAAAAATATTATCGCAGCTCGAGAAACGAGAGAAAGCGGATGAGAATTTGAAGTTCTAGATTAGTATCTCGATCGTAAATGCTTCCTTTTATTCCCCGGCGGCCTGGCGTTTACCTTCAAACGTGTCCTCGACTTCTGCCAGCAGAAGATTGCGACAGCTGGAATGAAATTCCGCCTTCGTCTACTAGATAATATTTTCCCGCGACCGAAATAGAACCTCGGCGATTGTTTTTTTTTTTTCCTCGACGACAATCAGGTTTGAACAACACCCCCGTTAACAAATCGAACGTACGTGTGTATACCTATTTACGCGTACGACTATGCTAGATTTGATTCAGCTACATCCACTTGATAGATTTCATTTCGTGTCCTTGCGTAAGTAAATTCGTTCGAATTTTAGTTAAATTTAGTTGAATTTTTTTACAAAATATTATAGAAACGCGGTGAATAAGAACGATGGACGAATTTTATTTGTAACGATCAGAATGAAGGATCTACAGAGTTTCGTGCAACTTTGTACTTTGAGGTCGTTGAAAGTTTTATTATTCTATAGTACTATAATTTTTTTGATATTATTATTATTACTGTTTATTTATATTTTTATTTTTATATAGCAATAGATAATTTTTTTTTTTTATAGAAAGACAGAAGCCTCGGATAAATCAATTACTTAATCTATATTCATAGATAAACGAAATAATAAAATAACCGATAATTTCGATAGTGTATCTTTACATATTCCAAGTCATCTGACGATTATTCACGATCATTCTAATTTTATACGTACGAAACTGAAATGTTATCTCTAAGAAAATGTAAGCGAACTTAGCTTCGTAGAAATGTTAGACTCGTAAAACCAATCGAAAATGTCCAACTCGTAAAATGTATAAATGATATAAACCGTGTGTTTTCTCGCTCGAATCGAATTACGGATAATTTATTATTAGGTTCGCGTCAATTGATCAGTCGAAAAGTGTATCGTTACCGTTATGGTTCCAATAAGGAATCGAGACAACGACCACGACATCCCGGAACTTTCATTCTTTTGCATAGTTGACCGCATGATTCACATAGGAGGCGAGTCTGGTCCGTATATCCTGGATCGTTCGTATCCTGTTATGTTCATTGTTCGATGTCCTGTCTGTCGTGGCTTGGACCACTCCTCCTGATATCGTTTTCAGTTTTTTATGTACAAATTACATACGTCGAACATTTCCCTAAGTTTTCAAATACTATATCAAAATAATTTAATACGATACATGCATATCATCTGATATACTAAAACATTGTATATATAAGACGGTTAACATTCTCCTGATGTAGTTAAGATATCATTTTAGTCTGGTTTGCTATGAACACAAAGTTTCTAAATATTATATTGAAATAATTATATAAAATATATATAATGACCGGTATACAAGAATGTAAATAATAGTAAATTGTAATAATAGTACATCATATGTGGAAGTCACGAAAATATTTAAGTTCTATGTCGTAGAAAATTCAAGTTCTGTGTTGTAAAAAATTTTTAACTAACAGTAGCAGTATTATTACAGCAGTATTATTTATTAAATTCTAGCTCTTAGGTTTAGAATTGAACTAATTATTTAACTAGCACACGTTCATTCGCATCCTTCTCCATTCTCTCTTACATAGACAGCTTAACTAGCTATTTATTTTATATTCCCATTTTCTAAATCTATTCTCAATTTGCATTTATGATTTTACAATCCTACCATCGTATTCTCTTTATTTATTTGCAAAAGTTTTACTATTAAAACATTACTACTATTCTTCATTAGATACCACTTAAACTATCGGCTATTACATTTCCTCGTAAAGCTATTACGAAATGCTTGCTGCACATTGAAAAGTATTAGTTCGACCATCTCGACTCCGTCCCCAAAAGAAAAAAAAAGAAAGAATTCGAAATATATCAAATATTCCCCAAAAAAGGAAAAGAATCTTATTCGCTAGCGAAACGACCGAGCTACGACGCATCCGGACACGAAAAAAAACAAAGACCTTGCTCCCGTTGTGAAAGTAATCGCGACCGAGCTATTACGAGGAACGTGTGTCCTCTCACTTTCTGTATGCACGCCCGGTACAATGAGCCGCTGGTCGGATTACGCGAGAGGATTAATACCGTAAAAGGTAGCAGTGGCCATTAATTAGGAAGGTACCAGGTAATTCGTACTGTGAAACGACTGAAACGAGGATAAATCTCGTACGAAAGCGCAGAAAATTCCCTTTTTTGGCAGTTCGACCTTCTAGCCGTTATCTATACAACCCTTGAAGATGGCGAACGAAACATCAGATAGAAGCTTCGTGTTCTGTGTTATAACACGTAATCAGTAGACTGAGGATTTTTATGTAATTTCAACTTTTTATCAACACAATATGGTCTAAGCAGAAATTTGTTGCCAATAAATACTAAATGTTATAACAGGCACTCTGCTTTCAATATTTTACGCGTTTTCTTGCAGTTTTTGTGTACTGATGAATTCTCCGCACTAAAATTTCAGTAAACGCGTAAAAATCCGCAGTCTAGTGATCAATTTTGAAACTGGTCGTCCATAGATATCATAATTAGTATGTTTAATCCAAGAAGAAAATTTTTGTATCTTTGGAGCTTATCCTTATAATATATAAACTTGAGAATTCTGAAAAGTAAAAATATCTAAAAATATTATTATTATTATTATTATTATTTAGCCGCGTATTTATACTTGTTTCATAATTATACGATTGTTCTCCTTTTGTATGTAACATCAGCCCGTCATGACGTGTCATTGTAGAACGATCTGAATTTAAATTACTAGCGATTTTCAATAAAACGAATTGAAGTACGATAACTACAAATATATTTTGAAAATTAGAAAAAATTAGTAATTTTCTTTCGATATCAACTGTAGCTAAGCAGAGGCCTTTCGTTAACACGAAATACTTGGATACTGACAACGCCACCTTACGTACAAGTTCGGGACTTCTATGCAAGCGAATAAATTAAATCAAAAGTCTGATAAAAGCACAGTTTATTTGGAAACGTAGAAATTGAACAAATCACGTCAAATTACCATATTGACACAAATTTCGGTTAAGTTGTGTATTTCAGAAAATATTACATTTTTATAATCTAAAATACTCATAATTATGTCAAGAAGGATAGAATTCTAAAACAAAACTACGAAATTTTTATAACGATGCACTAATCTACTTATACAATTACGTACAAAATATATTTTAAAAGCTGCTCTACTATGTTATGGTGATGGCATCATCTCTGATGGTGTCTCTGATGTTGGTGTCATTGCCGGCGTTATTGGTGCTAATGTCGTCGTTGTTGTTACTATGGGTGCTGTCAATGGAGTCTGTGTAGTTGTAATAGGTAACGGAGTTGTTGCAGTAGATGGTTTTGTTGTATGTGGCAAATAGAGTTCAGGACATTTTACAGCACAGGCAAGATTCGCTATGTACGGCATCGTCTCAAATGACGTACAAAAATTCTGGCAAAAAGATCTTCGCAAAGGTTCGAGGAAATTAAAGCCAAATCTTGCTTCCTCGAGAATCTGTTCCTATAGCAAGAAGAGAATATCAATTATTATTCATTAGATTTTTTAAAATCTTAAGCAGCGAGTCAGATTCTTTGAATATTTTAGCTTTTTGAGCTACTCCAAATTACTTGTCACGTTTTTGGCGTGTAAATTAATTGTCCCAGAATAGTTATCATTTATGTAAAAAAACTAAAGTACGAACGAAATTTGGTGAAAATGGAAAACTTTTTCGCTTAAACGGAAATTTCAATCTCAAATAATACTTAAACAGTTTTTAGCATTAATTTTTAGCAGCTTTAGATTTACATATAATACCATGAGGTATTATGGCAATTTTCACGTCTGAGTTCTTCTTTGTTCATGTGCATTGTACTTGTACTAGTTATTATTATTATTATGTTAGGAAAATATTGTAGAAATTTTCTCTTTACATTCTTTGAAAAGATTCAATTTTCACTCCATTTTCGTTCGATGCAGCGACTATAGTACTATGCTCCAGTTTATTACGTTGTAGCAAAAATTGCAAAACAGCATCACGTACACCTTTATTTATTTCAAACTTTAACTTTCAAATTATTATCTATCATTTCAACTCTATACGTAAAATGACAATTATTGTTGACTTGAAGGTATTTAATTATTGTTGTTCTAACACCAGCCTACTTTGATAAGTAAATGACAGTCGAATGATGTTTTTTTTTTTTTTTTACTAAATAAAATGAATAAAATGAACTATACCAATAGTCGGTTCAAAAATATGCAAAAAGTGACAATTAATTTGGGACGGAGGGAGTATTTATTTTCTTAATTTCGATAATTAAAAGAACACGTTACATATTTAACTCTTCTTACGTATGAAAACTAATTGGATAATTATAGAGCTAAGTTTAGCTTCAATAAAACTGAATTACATACGTCTTCCTTCGAAGAACATCAGAGGAAAAAATCTATTTCTATTGTCAACAATCGAGAAATCCAAGTCCAGAAAAACTCAACGATGGGTTATAAAATTTTTCTGCGAAACTATAGCTGCCTATGATCAAATGTTAATAGAAATTATTCTTGGTTACGTAATCAAGCTCTTGAAACGCGAAAGCCGTGGCAGGTCTAACCTGTGACCAAACAGATCCGATCAATATGAGCAAAGCAGCAATCCATGCGGTGAGACGCGACATGACGAACTGATTGTTAAGACGGTTCAACCGCGAAACTGGCACCAGACAACATTTTCAAACAGAAATTTCCTCTCGTCTTATATACGTACTCCGTGAGACGATGGATCGTTAAAAATTCAAGCTTGTTCTATTCTCCGATTTTTTTTTCAATGATATCTCTTTGAAATTCATGGACGTCCCAGCTGACGGACAACACGCGTCGTTATCGCGATTCTTTGTTTGCCAAAGGCGGGAACAAGTCACGCAAGATTAACAATATAACCCGAAGATATTTTGTTGGAATGAACGTTTATTAAACGAAAGAAAATCTTTCAAGTTATTTTATGTATTAATTTCCCAGTCGATATAAAAACGTGGCTCGTGTTTACCACGAAATAGAAGTTCGGGAGAATATTTCTGATAATTAGCAGTAACGTTGCTTCGAGTCATTGTGTCAATTCTATCTGTATGCAAATGAAGTATTGCGCGCGTGACTGAAGAATAAGAAAAAGAGGATGACGATGAGTCGCGTGTTAATGTCGAACAAGATCGAAATCCATTACGTTTGCGTTCATCGGTACTCGAATCTGTGGTCACGTTTGTTAATTATCATATCAAAAGCAAGGGGAATCGTGGTATTTCCCATGCCGTGCCTAATTATATGCAACCTGCTTTGCATCTGCGTGCACCGTCGGCTCGATAGCCCTCCCCCATTGTCTCGGTTAATTAAATTGTGCACGAAAAGAAAGGACGCGGAATATTAATTGAAATTTTCTCGAATTATATAAATCGCGATACCGATAAAAGAAATAAACATTAAGAAGATATAGCATTGGATTTAGTTTAAAAATGTTTTCAAATGTTATCGCATTTTCCACGTACTTGCGCTTAAGTTTTCTCACTGAGAACGTGACCGGAGAATTTACTTTAAAAGCAATTCTTCTTACCTAAAAAAAAGTAAAATCCACAAAAATCGGTGAAACTTATTTATTCAACCAGAATTTTCTTTTAATTTCCGAAAAGGAATATCTAACTTTTGACCAATACTGATCTCGTATGAAACACCGAATTTTCTTCCATTTTCCTCGAAACAGTTAATCAACGACTAACGCCATTAAAAGAGAAGTATTACTTTCGTTGAAATTGTTTCTCCGTCCATTTCGCTTGTAGTGCGTCGATCAAAGTCATATCGAATGATTTTTGGATACTACGGGAAGCGAACGAGCGAGGATCCGAGAGTGCATACAACACGTTGATTATAAACGGGGTTGCGCTTATGACCTTTCACGCAGGGCTGCTTAAAGTTACGTCAATGGTGTGCATTGTACGAGAGAGCTGACTGGTTGGAAGGCAATAGACACCACGTGATCCCGCTACCAATGACGCCGGGGAATACCAACGGGTCGATAACAATGAGACCGACAACCAAGCCTCGGGAATATTCTCTTCGCCTCGGACTATCGATCTGGCCTTGTATTTCCTATCATTTTCCTTCGATACAACGTCATTGTCCTCCATTCTGTTATCTAATCTTCCGCAGCTCCTCGCCTCCATCCTTTTCTTCGTATCTCTAACGTCCAAACACTTGGGATTTTTTACGCTTTTTCTACCAGGCTAGTGGAATTCTAGATATCTTTTGTTTAATGGAATGATTTACATTTTACGCAGGCCTGTTGTTTTCTTTTGATTTAACGTGACAGAGGGGGTTTGGTTTATATACATTTGAACATTCACAGATTTGATTCGACGATTATACTTGGATAAATGGTTCATCAAGTACGAGAATTTCACGAAGATCGTTAATCGTGTATCGACGTAAGGTTCGTTGGGAAAGTGATGTGAGAAAGAAATTATCTTGGACTGACTTCCTTATCAAATGTTGGTAATGCAATATTCAGATGAGACGATTGCAACCCGACTGTTACAGTTCATCCGGTTGCATTTTCAAAATCGTTCGTTTCCGTGAAAAGTCAACATCGTTTTTCCGTTTCCAGCAACCTGAAAGGCAAAATACTTCTGAAAGTAGAAATTTGAAAAAGAAGTTTTGTAGTCTTTTGTACCAGTCTTTCAAGAAAATGATTTAACCGTGGTGAGGTTTCGTAATTCTTGATTGAATTTCTAATTAGACCCGCATGTGCCAATCGATCCTCCTTTAGTCACACGACTAAATGTTCGATTCGTAGCAACGCATAGCATAAACTATTGACATTTAAGTTGTTAACTTTTCCATTGACTTGACAAAATCATCAGTCAATTCGAACGAGGATTAATTTTTTTTTTTTTAGCGACTAAGTCGAGAGACTCTCGTGAAAATTATCTTCAGCCGATAATAGTGCTCACATCACGAAAAAGGATTCAAACTTTCTTCGAATTAATTCTCGAATTGTATCGTCGAGTCATAGATGACTATTCATGTACGCTACGATGACTATTTCCGACTAATTTAGATGATCATCGAATTATTAATTTTCGTTAGATCGTTAAAATTTCCAGCGCCTGATTTTATTTTGTACTTCACGCTCTCGCAGCTAGCGACGAGTAAAAAGTTAAAGACTCTGAAACCAAGTAATTTAACTCCAATATAGATCCAAACTAACCAAACTAATCAAAATCCTGTCACATTTCAGCCTAATCTAAATTTCTAAATAATTATAAAAATTCTGAAAAGTCCCGCGAATGAACAGGAAGTACTCTGTCCTCGCATTCCCCTTTCCTTGTCCTTGGCTCGCCAGATTTAAATCACATTTCATCCCTTTGCATCTGCGTTAACTCGATCGATAACGAAATCTTCCTGCTAGGGCGTTTGGGGGAAGAAGGAATTCCCTGGCGATCGGCGGCGGCGTGTGTTCCGAAAGATCGCGGAACGAAAAGTCGGGAGATCCCGGTTAACATCGGTAGACGAAGAAAGCATGGTGCTCTTCTAGGTTGATAACTAGACGAGAGGAGCCGGTTAATTAGCCGCACGGTTAGATAACGCTCTTTATCTAGATCGCGTGGAACGATGAGAGTGGAGCGTGCAGTAGCGTGAACGTGCGCCAAGCCAGCAGCCAGTCGACACTCGATTGGCGGAGGCCGGATGGCGGGTGGATGGTGGAGGTAAAACCGAGCGAAGGGGCTGTTGCAGGCGCGAGTGGCAGCCGGAGGTGGTGGTGGTTGGAGTTCTCGTTCTTTGCAGAGAACTCCTCCGGTAGTCGCCTCCTTGACGTTCCTCTGGGGGGTTTCGAGCTCGCGCGTGGGAGTAGAAGCTGATAGTAGCGTGGGGTGCATATCGAAGGGAAGATGAGAGTGGGTGGAAGGAAAGGAAAGGAAAGGAAAGGAAAGGAAAGGAAAGGAAAGAGAAGAGAAGGGTGGGTGAGCCGAGCCGAGCACGGTAGATAGGTGGATGGGTGGTTGGTCGGTCGGCTAAGTGGTTTGGGGTGAGAGCCGAAGGGAAAAGAGACACGACGACGTATGTACGTGAGCAAGGAGCGTGGAAAAGGGCGGTCGGGGAGGTTAGAGGCCGTAGGAGTGGGGTTGTGGGTGAGAGCAGAGCCATCGGTATATCGAAGAAGGAGGTCGCCGCGAAGGGGAATGGAGGGGGGAAAGGAGATGGAGGAGCGGGAGAGAAGGAAAAAAGGAGAGAAAAGACGACAGGGAGTCTACCCGGGGGTGTACGAAAGACGCGTAGACGATGGTAGTAGAGCGTGAGGCAGAAAGGGAGGCTACAAAGCGGAATGGAAAAAAGAAGGAAACAACGATGAGAGGGAGATAAATGAACGACAGTGGAATAGAGAGCTCGCGAGCAGCGCTGGGTAGGGAGAATGGGGCAAGAGGGAGAGACTAGGAGAGAGAATACGAAAGTACTACGGTGGTTCGGTGACAGGAGCGAGAAAGGAAGGCGGAAGGTGAGAAACATACGCGAGGAAGGATGGACAGAGATGGAAGAGACAACAGGGACAGTGATACGGTGTAAAGACAAATAGAGCGGGAATGCAATAAGGAGAGAGACGCAGCCGGAATATACATATTTTGAAGAAGGAGAAAGGCGAGAGGAAGCAGGGAAAGAGAGACGTTCGAGAGAGAAAGAGAGAGAGAGAGAGAGAGACAGCAGGAAGAAAAGTAGATGATCAAGGAAGATAGCTGGAACGAATAGGCACGTTCCGAGCCAGAACGAGATAGAAACCGACGGATTCTAGAGGAAAAGGGTACCGAATGGCGAGTACTATACCGTACGAAGGCAGGCACCTGAGAGAGATAGCGACAGCGTATATACTGGAGGATGAGAGGATGAGAGCGAGAGCGAGAGCGAGAGAGAGAGAGAGAGAGAGATAAAGCGAGAGATAGAGAGGGTAAAGCAGAGAGTCGACTCGGATATGAGGGTGTCGCGCAAGCCGGTCACGCCGAGGTTTCCATGGCAACGACAGGCGATAAATCAACCCGCAACATCCCCGAGTACCGCCAGATAAAACCGCATACACATATGTGTATACGTACATACATGCGAGTAGAAGAGATACCGACTGGTAACTCCGCACCCAAAAAGTTTTCCCTTCGACCGATTTATGCCGCCGCTGCCTGCAACACCGAAGAACGCGCCTCGCCATCCAAGAACTCTTTTCTCCCTTTTCATCTCCCTTTTTACCTCTTTCTCCTTCTCTCTCCCCCCCCCCCTCACGCTGCAGTGGTGGTCGTTTTCGTTGGACTCCTCTCTCTCTCTCTCTCTCTCTCTCTCTCTCTCTCTCTCTCTCTCTCTCTCTCTCTCTCTCTCTCTCTCTTCTTTTCTTTTCTCATTCCTGTACTTCACACCAGTCACAAAGAAAGATAAAAATTCCAGCGCGCAATTTTTTTTCTCTTTTATTTTTTTCCTTTTCCTCTCTCTCCTTTTTGTTCGTTTTTTCTTTATTATCGGCGAATCGGCGCACGTCGGATGGCGCGCGCGTGACACGCCAGCACATCAAAGTGAACATCCGGGGCTCCGCATCGGCGTGTAATGCATCGTTTGCTAGCAAACCGTTCTATCGGAAATGCAGGTTACAGGCCACCGAAACGCAAACGCTCCTCTACTGATTCGTGCAAAATTATCGATCTTCGACCAGGGCAACCCCT